TTTTTTTTTTTTTTTTTTTTTTTTTTTTTTTTTTTTTTTTGGTAAAGGAGCTCATGTAGTTCAGACTGATCTTGAGTTCCTATATAGCAACCCTGAACTTAAGATCTTATAGTCTCCACCTCCCAAATACTGGGATTACAGATGTGTGCCACCACGTTCAGGTAATAGTGATTTTTTTTTTTGAGACAGGGTTTCTATGTGTATTCCTGGGTGTCCTGGAAGTCATTCTTCACACCAGACTGGCCTTTAACTCACAGAGACCCTCCTGCCCCTGCCTCTTGAGTGCTGAGATTAAAGGCATGTGTCATCACTGCCCAGCAGCTAATAATGATTTAAAAAGAACAACAAGAAAACAAACAAAAGACACACAAAAAAAAATCACCCAGAGTTTTACAGTGCTCAATACTGTTCCAACTTAGGGATAGGTTAGTCTCTCAAACATTTATTTCTTTCTCTCCTAAGGCTTTCATAGCTGCTATTTTCCTTAATTATCTAGGGCTTTCTGTTTCAGTGATTTTCGATACAGGTGATCCTTGACCTTCCATGGTTGGCCTTGGATCCCCTCCCCGTTTTGTGGTTCTGTGGATCGAACCCAGGGCTTCATGCCAGCACTCTACCAGAGGTGTATCCCCACCATGGATTTAGGATTTCGACTGTGGTGGTGCAAAATGTATATTCAGTAGAAACTACAATTGGAATTTTTAATTTGGATTTTTTCCTAGGATCTTTGGCTCGACATTCATAGTACCTGAAGTAGCTATGAACCACAGGGCTATTGGAGATGTGTGTGTGTGTGTGTGTGGGGGGTGTATGACAACACGTGTGCTGTGTTGCTGAGCTACGATGTTCAGCAGGGTGGGTGTATTTAAGGTCTGGTGGGCTTGTTGAGGTGAAACTCCAGTAGAAGCCGAAGACTCATTCTATCTGATCATGGCTGTGAAGATACTGCCTGTAATGTTGTCTTGGGTCCCATTGCTTTTAGGTTGCTGTCCCTTTTGTCTTTCCCTGAATCCTCTACCCTTAAGAAACCAGCTGTCCTTTGAAGGACTTTGGTTTGATTTCTTAGGGCCTTTTTCGTCTATTCATATTTTTTATACCTGACAGAGTTATCCCACCAGTTCCTATTAGTGAGCTGTCCTTTCTATCTTTGTGCTATAGGGTACGTGCCCTAGTTTTTGCAGCCTCAGTACTTGGTGTGTGACTTGCTGTTCTGTATGTCCTCCCCTTTTTAAATTAAAAAATATTTATTTTATGTGCCTGCTTGTTTTGTCTGTCTGTATGTCTGTGTATCTTGTGCATGCCCGTTGATAGTTGTGAGTCATCACGTGGTGCTGGAAATGGAACCAGGTCCTCTGTAAGATCAAGTGCTTTTAGCCACTGAGCTATCTCTCCAGCCCTTGGTCTCACCTATGAGTCTTAACTCTGTTCATGTGCCAGGGAATACCTGGAAGGGGCTACAGGAGGGGCGGATTAGTTGAGAATCCAGGTTGTTCAGTATCTTGTGAAGCCCTCCCCCTTTGATTCTCATCCAGCTCAGGGTGCTGTCTCTCCTCAGCAGTTAGGAGAGATGTCACATGTGGGTCTCAGGCTGTTTGCCTGGATATGGTCTTTCTCTGCCAGGCACCTCTCTGCATTTTTTTCTTCTCCTTTTCTGTCTTTGTCCTCTGTGTCTCTATTCCCTTCTGTGTCTCTATTGATATCTCTCTCTCTCTCTCTCTCTATATATATATATATATATATATGTATATATATATATATTTCTGAAATGAAATATCATTTAAAGTTCATTTAAATACTGATTTATTTGTGTGTGTATGTACCTGCTTGTTTGTGTGTACACTATGTATACACAATGCTTGTGGAACCTAGAAGAAGGCATCAGATAACCTGTAATTAGGGTCACAGACAGTTGTAAGCCGATGGATTTGGGTGCTGGGAACCAAACCTGAGACCTCTGTAAGAGCAGCAATTGCTCTTAACTGCTGAGCTGTATTTCCAGCTTCTAATTTATTATTATTATTGTGTGTGTATGTAATTGTATATATGGGCATGTGTGCTTGCCATGAAGTGTGTGGAGGTCAGAGGACAACTTCGTAGAGTTCTCTCCATTCATCTTTATGTGGGATCAAATTAAGATCATGCATCAAGCTTACCCAGCAAACACCCTTATCTGTTGAGCCATCTCATCAGCTCTGATATCTGAAATTAAAAAAAAAAAAAGTGTGTCTGTGTGTGGGTACGTGTGAAAGCCAGAGAGACACTGTGGTGTCTCTATCAACACTATATTGTAAGTTTTTTTACACTTATTTTTTTAAATTTATTTTGTGTTTGTGTGCACATGCCATGGTGTAAACTCAGAGGTCAGAGGACATCTTTAGGGAGTTTGGAAGTTCTTTCCACTATCCTGTTCCTAGGGGCCAAACTCAGGTTGTCAGTCTTGGCATCTCATCAGCCTTGCTGGTGCACTTTCTACCAGTAAGTTTAGATCTGTCTTCACCCGGAGCCAGAGCGGCTATGCGATCCTGTCCTGGGAAGGACTGTGGACAGTAGCCTGGCTCTAAGCTGTTTTTGTGTAGCCTCAGCCTCTGTCTGGACAGTGTGCTCTCCTAGTGTGTCTGCTCTACTCTGGTGCATGCCCTGGGAGGGGGAACCCCAAGTCTGCCTCATCTCTCCAGCTCCTGCAGAGCACTGGGTCTCTGTTTCATCTGCCTGGGCACAGGTCAGCTTGGGTCTCTGTGGTCTCAGGCTACAACTTGGGTTCCAGACACCTTATGATTGGCACTGAGGAACAGGAAGGCTGGAGGAGGAGGACGAGGCAGGTGTCTGTGCACCTAGTTGCCTTCACAGGAACTGTCTCCCCGGTGGTGACTGTACACCCTTGGTCTGACAGTCCATTTGTGGCCCCGGGTAGACTTGGCACCCCCTGGTGTATTCATTCAGTCCGTTGCAGGATGTGTGGTACCCAGGCCTTGATCTCCTATTTGTCCTTTACCACCACAGCCTCTGAGAACCCAGCGCTCTGCCACTTGCCCTCCCCCAATCTAGTGGGGTGAGATTCTCCACCACAGATCCTAGGTAGTAGGTGACCAGGTCTGCACTAGAGATAGAAGGGTCTCTGGACTCAGCAGCTGCCCAGGATAGTGCTTCATCTACCTCTGCCACAGCTCTGCCATACATGGCAGCTGGGAGCTGCCTGCCTTGCTCTGTGGTCGTAGCTGTGGTGTATGGTTCTGTCTCCACGCAAATTGTGCAGGTACAGCCCTCTATGGGTCTGAGCGCTTTCTGTGCATAGGTCCCATCAGTACATTTGATAAGCTCTGCCATGTGTGGGCAGACACTGTCATCTTTTGTTGGTTCCTACAGTGCATTTAGTTGCCTGTATGGTCATTCCTCTGAAGGTGTCTTGTGTGGCTGAGGGCAGGGCTCTGTGTGTCTTTCCTTGCTTCCTTCCTTCCTTCCTTTTTTTTTTTTTCCCTGGCACCAGGCTGGCCTGGAACTCACAGAGATCTGCCTGCCTCTGTCTCCGGAGTGCTGGGATTAAAGGCGTGCGCCACCAACGCCCGGCTCTTTTTTTTGTTTTGTTTTGTTTTGTTTTTTTCTGAGACAGGTTTTTAATTTTTAATTTAATTTAATTTATTTTTTAAAGACAGGGTTTCCCTGTGTAGCTTTGGAGCCTATACTGGAACTCACTTTGTAGACCAGGCTGTTCTCGGACTCACAGATATCCACTTGCCTCTGCCTCCTGAGTATTGGGATTAAAGATGTGCACCACCACTACCACCTGACCTGTCTGGGTTTCTTGACAAGATTGAGGTTTGCCTGCCCCCAATGTGTCAGAGCAGACCTATACATCCTAGGTCTTGGCTCTATACATTTGCCATTCGGCTGTCTGCCTGTGTTGAGGCAGTCTAGAGGCACAGTCTCATGTCATTGTGGGTATGTATGGCCTTAGCCAGCTATGGGTATAGCTCAAGGGACACAGACTATAGCCTGGAGGGGCAGCCCAGGATACTCTTCTTTGTGTTTCTGTCTTCACAAGCTTGGTGAGCTGGCACTGGGCAGGAACTCTAGCCATCCCTAAGCCTGTGTCTATCTCCTACAGACTCCCTGAGAGCACCAAGGAGGCACCAGGCTTTCTCCTGGAGTGTGACAGCTCTGCGCTGGACACCCTGCAGAAGCACCTGGCCATGTATAAGATCCGGCGGAAGGTCACTGTAGAGCCACATCCAGAGCTCCATGTGTGGGCTGTGCTACCCTGTGACCCCCAGACCCCTGAGGCTGCACCACTAGAAGAGAGGGTGGAAACTACCACCATCCTCACCCGTGACCCCAGGACTGTACGTATGGGGTGGCGGCTTCTCATTCAGGATGATGGCCCAGCCCTGGTACCCAGGGGACAGCTTGGGGACATCCAAGATTATCACATGCACCGGTACCAGCAAGGTATGAGTAGGGTGATGTGCCAGTCTAGTGTTGGGGAGGGGTGGGGAGATGCAGGGGGACCAGGTAGACCCCAGAAGGGGCAGAGAGGTTGGGTGGAGTTGGCCTGCAGGGCTGGACTTCCTAAACCGCAGGCCTGCACTTGTTGCTGGACGTGGTATACTCATTCTCTTTGTTTTTGAACCCCATAGGCATCCCTGAAGGGATCTGTGACCTGCCCCCAGGGATGGCCCTACCCCTGGAGTCCAACCTGGTCTTCATGAATGGCGTGAGCTTCACCAAGGGCTGCTACATTGGACAGGAGCTGACAGCCCGCACCCACCACACAGGTGTCATTCGCAAGCGCCTCTTCCCTGTGAGACTTGAAGGCCCCCTGCCTGCCAGTGGCATCAGTCCTGGCACCTTAGTGATGGTGACTGCCACAGGACAGGCAGCAGGCAAGTTCAGAGCTGGCCAGGGATGTGTGGGACTGGTTTTCCTGAGGTCAGAGACAATCAAAGGTCCTCTCCACATAAAGACTTCTGAGAGCCAACAGGTGGCTGTGACTGCCTTGGTGCCAGACTGGTGGCCCACAGCTGCCAAGTAGCTGGATGCGCTGAAGCTTCACTGGCCTTAAAGTTACCAGGTGCCTCTGAGCCTCTGCCCAAGGTCTTCAGCTCTGTGTGTTGCACCCCGTATGAGCTTCTTCTCTTGGGGCATCCTGGGACACAGCCATGTGTTCCAGGCTATGGATTGGCTGCTGCTTCTTGCAGAGGGTCTTCCTCTTGTAGGCTGTCCTCTCCCAAGAAGTCTGTGACTGAGAACAGAGTAGCCAGGATGCTGGGAGAGGGAAGGGTCTGAGCTCCCCTTTGGACCAGATTCTGAAGATTTGATATAGTCCATGGGACAAGGCGAGGATGAGACATGTGTCCAGCCCAGGCTTCTAACCTTGTTTACCCTTGGAGGAAGGTACTCTGTGTGCCTGCAAAGTTGTTGGGCCAGGAATGCTGGCTTTGTGTTCTCTTGAAACACATCTCAGGGTGGGAATTGTTTGGGTTGTGTGCAGGGTGGGGAGGTTGGATCCCTTGTACTGGGATATGTGGAGTGTGAGCCACAGGGACAGCATGTCCACTGTCCCAAGGGCTCTTCTCACTCCTCAAAGTGAGCTGCTGTGTTTTCACACTCCCAGGAAGCTCAGGAGGAGTGGCTCCCAGGGCTCAGGCCCATCTGGGAGGAGCTTCTTCGTGGCTAACTTTTTTGCTGGTTTAGTATGTCATTGTATGCTTTTAGAAGGGAGTGACTTGCTGGTGGGGTGCATACCTCCCTCTGAACCACTTTTTCTAATCTTTGTAATGTGAACTTGGGGTCTTGCCACAAAGCCTAAGGACTAGTAAAGTGTGGTCTGCAAACAGCCCCTTTGATCCTCTTGTTTCATTTTGGGCAGGTCTGGTAGAACAGACCCATGGGACAGCTGTCCCTGGAGATCAGTGACCACACCAGATAAAAGCATCTCTCTTTTGTTTCTATCTAGCCCTGGTTGGTCTTCAACTTGAGATTCTCCTGCTTCAGCTTCATGAGTGCTAGATTGACAGGCATGTACCACTGTGTTTCCGCAACATTCACATCTCTCTCTCTCTTTCAAAAGATGTATTTTGTTTTTATGTCTATGTGTGTATGTCTGTGTATGCACATCAATGTATGTTTGGGTGCCTATGGAGGACAAAAGAGAGTATCAGATACCCTGGAGTTAGAGTGACAGGTAGTTCTGAGATGCTGGACATGCATGATGGGAAATGAACTTGGATCCCCTGCAAGAGCAGCAAGTGTTCTTAGCTGCTGAGCTTTCTCTTCAGATCCAGTACATTTGTTTTAGCAGAGTTCCATGGGCCATACTAGGCTGGCAGGAAGTGGGGAGGCGCCTGAGTCTAGGCACAGGGAGTGGGTGCCCAGGCTTCAGGGTGATGGTGGATAGCTCTGAACTGTTTTCTGCAGTGCCTTCAAGGGGAGACCACAGAGGGCTGGAGTGAGGGGAGCCTGGGGCAGTGGAGACTCTAAGAACTGTGACTTTGGAGGCTACCTAGGCTAGGGATCTAGGCGCACTCTATGCTGAAGTGCAGTTTGCAGCAGCTTAGGAGGCATGGGGATTGGTGTGCCCTGAGTAGACTAGTGAGTTGGGGGTGGCCTCTCTCTTAGGCAGGATGTGATGGGGGCATCCTGACTGGCTTCACTCCCCATGGTATTAAATGTCAGCGTTGGGGACAGGGACCTGGCAGACAACTTGAAGGATGGATTACTTTGGCTCACGATTTCGGGGAGTTGCAGTTCACAGTAGAGTTCATGGCACTGGGAGTGTGGCAGAGTCCCTCACATGGCAGGGCACCAGGAAGCAAGCAGAGAAGGGGCATCCACAGACAGTTTTACCCTTTGGAACACTCCACAGGTTCCACAGCCTTCGAGGTGGTGCCACCAGCTGAGGACCACCATGAGATCAGATATGAGCCCGTGGAAGGCATTTCTTATTCAAGCCACAGCACAGGCTATATACCTAGGCTGTGCAGCTCCCAGCGTGGCTGGAAGAGCCCATCTTCTCAGCTCAGACGGGTTGGCTGGCTTGGTCTATGACTGCCTTGTGCCCAGTGGCTGCCTCTCCACTCAGGAGCAATACTGCAGTTGTATTGGATGTTGAGGTAAAGGATAGAATCAGCTGGGCTCTGGAAGCCTGTGACTGCTAGGCTCCTGCTGACTCCACCTGGCAGCTTTTAAAATTGACATGGGGACCTCTATGGATTCCAGGCAGCTTCTTTTTGGGTTGCAGTCATGTGACTGGCTTTTGCCTGCTTAAATCTGATGGGGAAGTGCCCACACAGGTTGGTGCCTCTGAGCCTTGTCCCCCACACATTCCAGCTTTCAGGAGACCAGAAAGGTTCTAAGGCAGTCTCATTGGGTAAGGAAAGGACAAGTCCCAAAAGAGGCACATGCTGCTTTGGGTCGAGACACTGCCTCATGCCCGCTGCCTGCTGTTGGGCTCACCTGCTGCCTGCTGCTCTGTCTCAGAATTTTAGAAAAGCAGTCCCCCACACTGGAAGAGCTAATGGGAGGAGTCAGCTCTGCACTGGGCTGATCTACAGGGACCTTAGGACCACTCTTAGTGATCAGGCGTGCATTTGGTCTTCATGTTCTCACTGGGATCTGCACGGACCCCAGTATAGACACTTGAAAACCATTAACTGTTTTCCACTGTATTTTGCAAAAAGTACAAAGCTGTGAAAAATAAACCAATTAAGGAAAAAAAAAGGTGTAACTGTTATTTTGGAGTTTTTGTTTTGTTTTTTGTTTTGTTTCTTTTCATGACAGGCTCTTACTGTGTAGCTCTGATTGTCCTGGAACTCTGTAGACCAGGCTGGCCTAGAACTCACGGAGTCTGGGATTAAAGGTGTGTGCCACAAAGCCTGGCTTTTTTTTTTTTTTTTGAAAACCTCCAAAGCAGGCTTTGGAGAATGTATTCCTAGGATACAGGGTCCCAAAACTTTTGACACCACATTCCAAGGTAACTAGCTGTCTGTTCTGCTGTCTGCTAAGGTGGTAGGTCAGGAGTGGCCTTGGGAAAGTCCCCTGGAACCTGTGA